TACATACGGAGTTCATTGTGTTGGACCATGGCGGAGATCGACAAGGACTTCGAGGCCCGATTTTGCGCTTTCACGTGAACGTGTGTCCACGTCGAGTTTATGCATTCATAGTTACTATCTCTCCGGGACACACACATGGCCTCTCTAGATTCATGTGCTCAAATGCTAAACCGTTCGGATGACTCCATTTCGCGCTCGATGGTTTTCGGTTGACCCCTCTATTCCCAAGGGCGAATCTAGGGAACAGAATAAGTGGAGGCCTAGTTGTTGTTAGAAAAAAATTATTATATTATAATAAAAGTATAGATACAAAAATACACATTTATAATATACTTATGAGTTTTCACATATAGCTCAACATCGTCCTATAATAACATTGTTGAATTTTTTTATGGCACTTTCTTTTGGCCAAAGTCTAACAATATTAGAATTCACAACAAGTATATTTAGAATTAAAGTATCTCATCTTAAAACATTTTAACGTAAACTTTATTTTTCAAGGCGTTTTACAGAAATATTTCTCCATAATTTATGTTAAAAAAATAAATATAATGTATAAAAAAAGCTATAGTGGATAAAATAGTTTACTAATATATAAAACTTGTAAGAGGTTACAATTTAAGTTATTAACCACACACAAATTATAGTTAGATGGTATTTTTTATAATTTAGAAGAAACAATCAGTTAACTAGAAAAGTACTAAAAAATACAGTATATGTGTAAATTTTTCTTCAAGTTTAGTTAAAAAAAAGGATAAAATTACTTTCATCAAAATTAGTAAGAAAATATTTCTTTTCTCCAATACTTCTCTCTTTACATTTCTTTTTTTTTTTTTCTTTGTGTAAGTATTGTCATTAATTTTTATTTTATTTTTCGTTAATGGGGTGTATAAACTATTTTTTGAGTTATAGTTGTACCTAATTCATAATATTTTTTATTTTTATTTTTTCAGTGTGGGCCTAGGCCCATATTGGTCCATATGTAGCTCCTCCCCTGTCTATTCCCTCCGGACGACCATTATTGGACACACGGTGGTGACGACCACCGTGTCGAGTACGCATTTTCTTTTCCTATTTTCTCTTTCTTTATTTGCTTCTTGTGTGTCTTTGTGTGATTTTGTCTTGTTGTTTGTCATTGTGTCTCGTCTTCATTTTTATCGCATGAACGTACGTGATTATGTGCTTTCGCCTATACTTTTTGGTCAAGCAATGAGGACATTGCTTTGTTTTAAGTGTGGGG